TTGTCATCAATAAAAAAGTTGTCATCAATAAAAAAGTTGTCATCAATAAAAAAGTTGTCATCAATAAAAAAGTTGTCATCAATAAAAAAGTTGTCATCAATAAAAAAGTTGTCATCAATAAAAAAAGTTGTCATCAATAAAAAAGTTGCCATCAATTAAAAAAAAGTTGCATTCAATAAAAAAAAAGTTGCATTCAATAAAAAAAGTTGCAATCAATAAAAAAGAATTGCGAAAGATTAATTTTGTAAGAGTTGCGCCAGTTAAGGCAATCATTTTACTTTATTTAAAATAAGCATTTTTATAGTCTCTATTATATTATATTCGAAAATATATTTATACAAGTAAAACTTTTTAGAGATTCGTTTAATAAAATATTATTTGACCTTCCTTTAAATGTTTTGACTAAGTTTTGATGTCTTAAAAATATAACTCACAAACACGGAATATTAATGATTGATGAAACTAATTTTTCCATTAGAAACTAACAATTAATTATTATGGTATTCTCTATTATATTATTTGTGGAAAGTTTAAGCTTCATTTTCATTTAACAGTTCTCGCTCAACTTCAGACTCTGACCCACAAAAAAGAATAACATATCGTGGTTCATAATACATGAAAAACTTTATAATTAAACGTACTTTCCAATTTTTTAGAGACATTTTAAAATGCATAGAAGTAAATGGGAGTATTGCTATGGTAAGACAAAATAATTAGATACCGTTGGTTTATGAAACGTGTAATCTAAAATACCAATTTTTTATTGAGATGTAATTTTTTGTTGTATGATGTAGCCAATGATTTATGAGAGACTAGTATTAAAAATATTATATTTTACAGCAACAAAATATTCGCTTATTATGCCCTAGTTTGAGCACAACGCTAACAACATTTTTATCTTCAAATGAAAAAGCCGGGTAGAAAATTTTATTTTTTTATATATGAATTACTATTAATAGCAAACATTAAAAACAAATATTCATATGATGGTAGGAACTCATATGTAACTTTTTGATTACTGGATTTGAGCATTAGAAACATGAATACATATTGGAGAATTTTTAACTTATTTAGAATTTACTCGAATACTGGAACATAACTCTTGTGTTATTTTATTCAAATTAAGCACTGTAAATCGATATACAGAACATAATTTGGTATGAATATTATTTATTTACACAAAATCTTTATAACAACTATTAGTTAAATACGCAATAAGTACATCTATAATTCCAAATTTAATTAATTGATAATATAATTATTATATATTTTTAATTAATTAAATTTAGAATTATAGATGTGCTTATTTATTATTATTAATTAATTGTTATTGAAGAACTGAATCTAAAAATGTGAGTAGTTTTTTTCATCGGAATGGAGATCACTGATAGAGTAACAGAGATTATAAACTAGGCGCAAAAGGTATTTTGCATTAAGCCATGTTGCATGAACTTTTCGAGGTGTGTTGAATCTATTTAATCAATAAATAGTTGATTAGCATATAATCTACCTGTCTACTTGTTTAACTGTCTAATAAGAAGTATCTAAATGTTGAAGTGTTTTCCTATCTTCTTTTGTACCTTTCTACCTGTCCACCCGTATACCTGTTTACTTCTCTAGCTATTTACTTAAGTCTACTTTAACAGCTATCTACCTGTCTGTCTGTCTACTTTTTTCACTTTATGCCTATGTGTTCACCTATCTACCTGAGATCTATGTATTAATATTTTTACATGTATATAAATCGACAATAGTGATTTATAATGGTTAAATTACACCACCTAATGTATTTTTAACCTTTTTCCCTGCGACTCGCCTGCCTTTGCAAAAATGTAATCGCCTTTTTACTTCGTCAATACAAGCAACATTATGTTTGAATCATTCAAATCGGATCAGTTTTTTCAAAAACTACCATCTTTCCATATGCAACCAGCACATCAATAAGAATCAAACGTTTTTTGAACGTTTTATTGTTTATAAAAATTTAAAGTCTTTTTGTTCATTCAAAAAAATTATATTTCAATATATGCAATTGATACTTGAATGTTTTTCATTTTCATTTCAAAACATTTTTCACATAGTTCGGATATTTACCCGTGGGTATAGTAATATTTAAAGTTTTGTCGCAAGTAAATATATATAAATGAAATGAATTAAAACAGAATACAGCGCAGAATATATTGTAACGGACAAATTGCATTTCAATTAATCATTTCGTGTCAAAAGTTAAATAATACCGATAAAACCAGATATTTCTATATTCAGCGCGGAAATGTTTGGCAAGGTTGTTGCTAACACCTACATAAGTTTTTTATTTATAAAATGTGCAACCGCAAACATTTCTTGAAAACCCTCGTTTGATTCAAAGATAAATTTATGCCACTTAATAACATTTGCAAATGAAAAACAACTAACTTTTATATATTCTTTTGTATAGATGTAATGCAACTGTTCAAAAACCTACCAGATAACTATCGAAGGCATGGGTTGGTTTGATTTGCTAAGTTGATTAATAGTAATTGATTCAGAATCTCTGTGCATAGTATTAGAATTAATTTCTCGGAACTGCAAAAAACAATCAGAAATCGATACGAATCTCTTGGAATAATTTTATAAGTCACCTATATAAAATGAATAAAAATAATAAAATAATAACTTTTCCATAATTATTAAAATGTAACTATAAACGTATTTATGCATGTTTGTATTTGTTATTTATGTATATTTAACAAATATGTCTAGTTCGGCTGTTTTCCATATGTTTTTAAATAATGTGCACTATCATGTACGGCATTAATAAACAAAAATTTTATGAAATGCTACTTGTCCGAAATTGATAATACTTCCCGTATCAAAAATTTAAATGTTTAAAAAAGCTTTAAATTTCTTTGAAAACTTAAAAAAAAGTTGATTTTTGAGAATTTTGAAATTTTTGAAATAGATTGACTTTTTGAATTTATTTTATATTTTGGAACTTTTTGATAATTTCGAAAATTTTTTCAATCGCGCTGCGTGGCTGTTTTAGAGACGAAATATATCAAAACGTCGTAGTCTCACGGATAATTATTAGTATAAAACCAATATAAATGTAAACAAAATTTGTACTTATTATTAAAATACCTATAAAATATCTGATAACTTGATGTGCATATGTTTAATGATCAGTTGTGACCGACAAATGGCTTTTTTATTTTTTTCACTGGATCTCCGAAACCGCTATAGCAGCCTTCCTAAAAATTTGAATGATTTTTTTTTTTGAATTATCGAATTCGGACGCTCTGTTCAAATCGGTGAATCATTGAAATCGTTGTTTTCGAAATTAGACGCAAAATTGTATCCGCACATACATAAACACACATCAATTTTTTTCTAATATATGCTAAAATGTTCAGAAGGTTTTGAAGCGTAAAGCTATATAAACTTTTCATTTAAAATAGCTTTGCGATTACTATAACTTATCCACGGTAAGTTAATAAGATAGAAGTACTATAATTTTTACTATATTTATTTTTTTAATTTAATTTATTGAATTTTATATATAAATTCTTATTAATGCAACTAATTGTGCCGAATATAATTTACTTCATAATGAAGAATTTGATTTAATAATGATTTATATTTAAAAAAAATGATTTATCAACATTTAATTACTTCATCTTCTGAAAACTATAATAATATCTTTCTATTTTCGGTATAACATATAGTCTATACCACTTGAGATGAAAAAGATCAAAATTCTAGTTATTAGTGGATCTAGTCGCCTTATCTATGTCAATAGATATATTAATAAAATGCAATTTTTACTAATTAATAATTACTTAAGGCATGTATCAAATCAAAATTATTCCTAACTTATTTGGTCACTGATTGATGTAAATTATAGAGTCATATTTTATAGTTTGACCAATCTGAGAAATATGTAATGTCACGACTAAAACGGAGAAGTGACATTAGTGTCTTTTCGGAAATAAATTCAAAACTATTTTGGAACTTCCACATAACTTGTAAACAACGAATGATTCAGTTTCCTGATTTTCCAAATTTCTGTAACAAGCAAGGTTAGCTGGTCCATCGACTTAAGTCGATCACCCATGATGCTGTTCTGACAAAAGCAGCAACCACAAAAATGTCTTGAAAACCCCATATTTTTTACCTTCCAACGAACCCATCCGATGTTAATCACGCAGAATTGGATGTTGACGTATGGAAACACGTGCGAATCCACCAACACAGGTGCACATGGCCAGTCCGCCAGGTGTATGCTCACATTCTGATGTTGTATCATTGATACCGATATATGAAAGTAGAATCAGAATGTGATACAATGTGCGTCTGGCAGTTCATCCGCTTCTTGGCGAATACAACTTATAAGTTCTGCGGAGGTTATGTTCGCTTTCAGTGATAATCTCGCTGTCAATACGAATGCATAACCGCGGCAATATAAACATAACAACATCTATTTTGAAAATTATAAACAAATTATTACAATCATTTTAATTGTGTTTGGTTGTTACTACTCAGTGCGAGTGATAAACAAATATTTAGGTTACACACTGTTTGTTTATTTATATTTACATTGTTTTGATTGTTGCAAAATTTGAACACCTTGTGGCTTTTTCGTTACCGCATAACGTGCAGTAAACTTAGTGCATGGTGTGTGAATTTTAAGGAAAAATTGCATTTACGAAATGTGATCATTAAAAAAATTAAGTATAAACTTACATGAAGCACCCGGCTTAAAATAAACAATTGTATATCAGTGAATGGTTAATCAATCTAGAGATATTGAATTTAGGTTTAAGAACTTATTTTACACATTTGCGGAAGTACTGAATATATAGTACAACAAAATACTGTGCAAGTGAACAAAACGCTAAGAAGCTAGATAAAAGCATTATATCTAGCTATTATATTTGAAAATTGTGATATTTTCAAACAAATTATATTTGACAATATATCAAGACTGAAAGTTAAGATTTTTGAGTACAAATTACGACAATATGAGGAATTTCCTAAAAATTTTCTCAAATGCTCAGTCCGGTCACACTCCAGTGAGTTACGAGTCATCATCAGGAGGGCGAAGAAAAAATTCTCATGTACATTTGGGCAGAGAATTTGAAGGAACATTAGAGGAAAGATGTCATTTAACAGAAGATGTTCATGTGGAGATGGATCCAAATGGATCCTCGACTGGAGTGCGAAACCCGAAAAGTCTGAACCAAAATAAACCACATCCCCTAAATAAAGCGAGCTCGGTGGTTGATGGATTTTTCAGTCCGAGAAAGCAAGGTGCTAAAACCAGAAGGCCAAGATGTAAGTGTTTACTAGTGATATATAATTCATTTAGATGTAAATAATTTTTGAAAAAAATTATATATAAAATAAAATTTATACAATCCAATTATCTTTTATAATTATGAGAGCCCCAAATACGGGAAGTGTAAATAGGGTACAAGTCAAATTATTTTCATGTCTTTGATATTAACTATTAAAGTAACAAAATTCTGAACTTGCAATTAGTGATAATCACGCATTATATTTAAAAGTCAAAACATAGTTTTTGTCATAATAATCGCATTATAAAGTATTTAAATAAATTACATAAAAACATTTGAATATGAATATTTTTTGTAAACGAGCAGTTGTGCATTAATTGAGATGGATTATTATGTTGTTCTCCCTACGAAACGAAAAACTGAAAAGCTCAACATACGTAGCTTCCAGATTTTTTTAAATTGTTTTCAATTACTTCTAGTAATTTAAACATTTTCTAATAAATCAAATTGGAAAGTATTTGCAACTTCCAAAAATTTCAATTTTGCTTAAATCAGTAGTATAATTGAACATTATTCTACTATTATATACAAATGATTGATCTAATAAACTATCGGCCTATAATGCAGTTGCACTTGAATACGTATCTATAACATTAATTAATATTCAGATTATTATCTTAAATCAATAGAACCAATTGATCACTGGCTAACATTTTATTTTATTTATCAATAAATAACAGATGCAAGATATAATTATCGCGAATACATGCACACAACATATATATATATATATATATATATATATATATATATATGTATATATATATATATGTATATATATATATATATATATATATATATATGTATATATATCGTGATGATCTAAGATGAGGACTTCATAAAACTCGAAAATAAATTGAAAAATATATCCGCGTTTAAGATAATTGGCCGGTTAAGGATATCTAGTTATTATGCAGAATATATAATCTTAGTAAATTATAATTTTCCAGAAATTAATTGAATTTAATCAAATTATCACAACAAACGTGCTATATGCTGATATAAATCTGATATAAATAAAAGTATCATGAAACTACTATAGAGATATATTTTGCAAATTAAAAACTGGTAGTTCAAATTTTATACCTTCTTTGGGATCGTTTCAATTTTATATAAATATTTTTCACAAATAATTATAATCCAATATGAAAATCTGATGTAACAACCATACCTACGAAAAAACTCATAAGACCCGTGTCTTACCAATTTTTAACGCGAAATTAATTGTAATTAGTTTATCTAATTAAAAACATATTGCAAATAATTGAAATTATCACTGCAGTTTATATTGCAAATAAAGATGTTAAGTCCAATGAATATGTTTCAGTACTAAGGCTTTCTTGAATATTTTTTAGTCATGAATTGAGCGCAATAGAGTGCATTTAATAATTTAATAGAATACCTTACCAATTTAATTTAATAAATTGTCAACATAACGGTTTTTGAGTAATTAAACTAATAAATTATAAAACATGCAGCAAATCAAATAAATTAGCCAGACTTAACAAACTATATTTTAAAGCTTACACTCGATCAAGCTCATAATTCTCAAACAACATGGAATTTTTTTTACGAATTTTTTCACGATAGTTACAATCTATTTCTATAATACTATCACCCTGTTTCAGCTTGGCTTTGAGTTCTGGGATACTCTGTATACATATTATATGAATATGTCTCTATATTTGGGCAATAACTAAGAAATTTTCTGAACATATTTCGGCAGTTGTTTTTTTCATATGCGTTATTTCATATGTTTGTTTCGTTTTTACATTATATTTACTGAAAGTCTAAAAATTCTGATATGCTTATAATCTTGTATTATATATTGAGATGCTGAATGGGATATTTCACTCGAAGATGTATCTAATAGAGCTCCACAATCAAAAACGAAAGATGCGTGCGCTATTTTCCTTCTTGATAACTAGATGTAACAGAATCGCATTGTTGCTTTGATTTATTTTTGATTTATTATTTATATCGGGTACATTTAGTATTAAATCAAATATTCAATATAAAACATTTTATCACGCAACGTTATTTGTTTAGTTTTACTGAAGTAAATAATATGCCTAAACAATCAATTGAGGAAGTAACTAAAAAGCGAAAATAATACCCTTGATTTTTAATTAATTTCACGGTCAAATTTCATATTATCGAAAACACCTATAGGCCTATATGAGCGGCTGTAAATAATTATGTTTATTATGTTTAGATATAATTTGAGCCCAGATAGAATAACTGTGACTTGCGTATCTGTATGTCAATGTCAGGTCTACCTACTTGAGGCAGTTGAATGTATCGGAGTTATTCAATTTCTTATTAACGAATATATAAAAAAGGTAAATAAAAAATAATTTCATTAAGCATAACATGAAATCAGTTGATCGCTACTCGTTTACGACATTCATGATATAACAGCCGTATAATTTCTTCAATGAGTCAACTTTTTCGTCGGTAAATAAAAAATGTATCACAAAAAGCCATTAATGAATGTGTGAATTAGCACGCGATAATGAACTTCGAAATGATAATCAGATGCCAATAAACAGTTTTAAATTGAAACGCATACAGAAATAGAATGACGGCAATAATTTATTCACCGATTTGCACTCTCACTTTTAGTTCACGCACATCGGATGCGTTTGTAGTGATGCAATTGTCTCGGTAAGAAATTAATCGTTATTTTAAGAGCCGTCAATGAAAGATAAAATGTTATATAATCGAAGAGCCATAGATAGAAGTAAATAATTCACCTACATTATGATAGTCTAGACCACATAATATTAATAGGGGAGACTGAGTAAGGTAGTAATAGACGCTAAAATAGCTAAACTATACTGATTTTGAGTTATGGTCCAAAAGCAGAAAGATGAAGTATGTTGGTTCGAACAAGTTTCAATTAAAGCATTGAGTCAGCGCCCGACATTAACATGATCTGTAATATCTAAAGTTCCATAGTTTGATTTCTGATACTGCTACTTGTATACAGATAGACCACTTTGTTTGTTAGCCTGCTATAAATTGAATATTAGTGATTAATTACCAGCCATTAGTTTTTGCGTGGATAATTTAGCTCAGTCCTAACAATGATTTGTTTTCAAAACTGTGCGTTAGGTACGATTGTGACATGTGGTTGTTGGTCTTGCCCTTTTCTGGTAAAGATTAAACAGATAAGAAAAAACTTTATTAACTAATAAGATAAAAACGAAAAAGAAAGAAAAAGAAAACTACAATAAAAAGATTTCACAAAAATTTCTCAGTAACTTATTGTTAGTTTAAAAAATTATGTTTTGTTATATATCGTTATATTCATAAGCCTAGTTTAAGTTATTATTTTGTGTTGTGTTCTATATATATTAGGGTGGTTCTTAATATGGACATTTTCAATTTTCCTTGCTCCCAAAGGCTGAAATGCTTACAAATTGATAAAAAAATCCTCTATGAGTTTTAGCTCTTAATGTTGTCAAAACAAATTATAAAAAACATGTTTTGTAGAACGTCGAATTTTACAATAAAAGATGACACGAATTGTCACTTTTAATTCATTTATCGCTTAGTTATACCTAAAAACATTTTTAAAAATTTCGATTTTTTTTCATGCTATTTCCATACGAAGCTTTGATTGAATTGCGCAGTATCTAAACGTTAATATTAGGAGTTAAAAGTTTCAGAAATTTATTTTTTTATCAATTTGGAAGCATTTAAGCCCTTGGGAGCGATAAAATTCTAAAATGTCCATATTAAGGACCATTCTAATAAACACACACACACATATATATATATATATATATATATATATATATATATAGTAAGTAAAAATCAATATCACTTCTGCTTGATATATATAGTTTGCATGCTACTTTTAATAAATAATTTTTGATATCAACAGTTCACTCAAGTGCAATATAAATCTATTTCATAATTTCATATGTCATTAAACAGATTTAATTATAACCTATACGTATCTATCAAATTGTATAATAAATTTAGTAATTCGAGACTGATGTTGAATCAAGTCAAAATAGACATTCTATATTTCTAGTTATAGGAAAAATCTTGGCAGACTATAATTTGATACAATAAACACATAGTTAAATGAGCAATTTCGCAATTTAATAATGCAATTTTGAATTCAACTCTTTTTGATATCAGATATATTGTCAAGTCATAAAATTTACCCGATAATTATTTATTATATGTATAATTTTTAATTACAAAATTCTTTTAGACTTCGTTTGTCCATAAATTTCATACCTTAATAATTGTACATGATATGTACAACAAAAATTTAAATTGTTCACTTGCTCACAAATAAATTTTCAATTATCTTTTATTTTTTTATTAGTCACTTTTAATTACTTCTTGCAAAGTAGAGCAACAAACTGTTCTCAAAATATAAAAATAATCATAAAATGATGCAATCATTCAATCATTTTTAAAGGTAAATCAAAAATAGGAGCTAAAAATTTATATGCACATTTTTTCGGTTCAAATTTTCTAAATAAATTATATTTAAAAAAATATTGCAAATCTAAACATTTTTAAAAATCCGGGACAAAATACCTAAAACCTCGGGGCCGTTCCGGCCAATCCGGACCGTATGGTCACCTTAATTAAGGCCATTCAGCATCACGTCTTTCAACTACAAAGCAGCATATAAAAATAAAAATATTCATCCTATTACAAAATCTAATAATCAAAATCAAAAATAATTTAGAAGTTGGTGACCCCTCTAGAAAACCGCAAGCATTTAGTGAGAAATACAAGAAATATTGAATCGAAGAAATTGATAACTGACGTAATTTGATTAATAATAGCTTCATTTTTCACAATTTGATAAAGACTTTGAATTTCTCTAATGATTATATCTGTTTAGCCATTAGATGTAAATTTAAGTCAAACTTTTTCTGAAAGTGAACGTCAGAATTTCCAAAATGTGAATCTTTCCATTGTCGAAAATCGAAATGGAACTTT